CCAATATGATCAAGTTGCGAAAACAAGGTCAAACAACTTCTATACAACGAAAGGAGATTGCGACCACACATAGGACCACCCTATCCTGGTCTTTATACCTTTGATTAAACTCTTCTTTTGTTGTTTGCCTAGCAATACGCTGCAAATTGCCTAACCATATTTTCTGCTTCCAGCTGATAGTTTGTATAGCATTAAGGCCCCTTATGTTGTTCTTTATTGTCTAATTTTCTTAGGCAATCTATTTCAATAGCTGATCGGCGTTCCAGTGATCCCCGCCATCGAATGGTTTGAAATCACTCATTCAGTATACTAGAGAATATTGTGGACATCTATTGTATTAGGAAATTACTATTTAGCCTGGTAATTTTCCTATAATACACGCTGGCAAATATAAATAACATATGTGTTCTTGGTACTCAATCCATGTGTCGATGCCTGATAAAGTGTTGTGAGTATGTAAACTATATAACTAAATTGTTCTAACGCTTATTACTTTGGTTCTTGGTTATGTTTGAAACTCTGGGTAAGACCAAATATTCTTTGTTTTCTCACTAAATTAGCTCGTTGATCAGGATTACTTCACTCACTTATTTTTTATTTCATCCTCCATTTACAACGTTATTCAACATTATTATGCATTTTACATAAAATTGATATTTTCGTGTGCGGTTGCTTTCTGGCGTTGCTATGACTATCGTCAATATTATTTTTCGACTTTTTTCCAATTTCCCAATTTTTAGTTTCGTGCATGCTTTCCCTCCTTTACTCATTATATTCTATTTCCCTAGTTAAATGTGATTTGTTCTGATACTCACATAATTCAACCACTTTCGCCTCTTATCTAAACCTCAGCTGGTCAGCATGGGCATTGACTCCTCGGAAATCGCTGATGTGCCCACTTCAGGCAAAAAACATCGGGCTTTGCCTGCCGGCTCCGGGGTCGGTGGCTTGGGCGGTGCTGGGTTGACTGGAGCTGGCTCTAGTGGTGGACTTAGTGGGCAAGCTGGAGGTCTGAGTGGAGCGACTGGAGGCACTAGTAGTGGAATGGCTTCGAGTGGCGTCGGAACTGGTGATGGCTCTTTAGGAAATGCTATTGGAAAGCGAGATGATAAGAAAGGTGAGCTGTTGATTTGGGGCATGACTTTATTTTAAAGTCAGCATAGTCTCCTGTCCAAGATATCAAACAGTAAGACATTGATCGAATAAGGTGATGAAAGATTGATAGTCGAATTTTCCCATAGTGATATGAGTGGGCCCCACGCTTCTTTCCCTCCCATAACGTATTTTTATCTAGATTGGACTGTAATTTCTACCGCGCCTTGGTCTCATCCACACCCCCAACGCGATTCGAACCAAGTAGTACAGCATATATTTTCGACATGCTACCTCTACGCCATACTGCCATGTGTTCGAGCGCGTCACAGATAGAGCCTTACTTTCAAGACATGCCAGGACTCTTAAACATTATAATGGTAATATTGTGTTGCGGTAAAATGCCGAAAATCTACGCTACATTTTCAAGTTTTTATCCCCTTTATGGGCGCTGGTAAGACCCAGGCGAGATTGAAACTGCAGTTCGTCCTGGTCAAAAATACCCTATACGAGATAAGCCTAAGTGAAATTAGATGGCAGTGTTTAGCCTATTTATATCATTTTTGAAAAATTCAATTATTAGAGCTTTATTACTTTATGCAATCCAATGCGAATATACTTCTTATTTAATATCTTGTGATAGTTTCGAGACCTATTATGTTTAATATAAGTGGTAGAGAAATTTTGCAAGGGACTTAAGGAGAATTTGCTAGAGGCTTTAACGCTAGTCCTACTTTTGCAATTCCTAAGTGAAAAATACGTCGCAGGATTGTTTTACTTTATTATTATCTTCTTTCCTATATTAGGATGAATTGTTCACTTTGTAAAAGTATTTTCAAAATTTACATATATTTCGACTGCTTTATCTTGGTACTCCTTTAGAACCATACAAGCTAGTTTGCAGTTGAAGTTTTGGCGTTATTAGTGGCTTCTACTTTGCCATAATCTTTTATTTTACAATTTGTTATATATTCGTAACATACTATTTTCTTTTAAAAGGCTCATGTATAACGGAGCGCAAGGAGTAAATTGCTTCATTAAATTCGACAATTTCATTCGCTTTTTTGCGCTTAGCTACCAATTATAGTTTCTGAATAAACCAAATAAAAATTGCTATTTGTGCTTTTATTGAGTTAGCATGGCATTTAGAGGACCATTATGTTAAGAATGCACTCTTCAGGCCATGAAACCTTAGTTTCAGGGTCAATTTATTTGGTATATAACTTCATACAGCACTGACAACAATTAATTGTATTGATCGCATTATTGCATTCTTCAAACACTCTTTTTCAAAGAAATTCCTATAAACGTTCTCTTATACTGCGTCATCGGCCATTTTTGTCATGTGCCTTTTCGGCATAGGACATCTACAGGAGTTATGACTGCCTAATAGGCGGTATTGCCAGTGAGAAGCTCCATTCTTAGCATTAAGCTACAATTCTTCCTCTTGACTCATTTCTGTCCAGTGGTTTTGGCATCTCACATCCCCCTGTTTTGGATCCTAGTGCGGTATCCTTATTACTCAATCCAATTTCATATGGCTAATCTACATCTCTCTTTATTCGCTCTTTCCAGTATATCTCAGATGTGTGCCCCGTTAAGCGATTTTTCTTCCTATTTGCAGGGCTCCTTGATCCCAATTGATATCTCCATTCGACAACTCACTTTTCTCATTTTCTCTCAGCTGGTCTATCCTGCTCCTGTCTTATCGAAGGGGATGCAAAACCGGTGATGAAGGTATTTGCGCTTGGGTAAACCCACTTAGAGTGACAAACACCTGGGATATTTAGGAATAATCGCTGATATAGAGTTGGAATAGATAGATAAATTGGCCATATGGAATGAAATCAGAGCATTAGGATACAGCGCTATGTGATAAAATAGGAGGGAAGAGAGATGCATAAATCGTTGAACAGAAAATCGTTCAGGAGGATTGTCTTTATTTGTCGCCGATGAGGTGTAGCTCGACTCTAAGGATGGTGTCTTTAGCTAATTTCGCCGGCGAAACGTCTGGAGATCATCCAGCCCGATGCTGGTAGAACACATGATAAAAGTGGCAGAAGATGTTGTACAAGGCACGTTTTTTTAATTATCCCTCTAAACCTAAGTAACTCGCCTAAAGAACGTTAAATCAACTATATACAAAGAAAGTAGACTGCGACCACACTTTACGCCACACCATCTCAGCATTTATATCGGAAAGCTTTCTTGCCAGTTATAGATTCGTAAGATATCATCGGCCATAAGTATACTATTTCATTTATCTAGACAGAAACTTAGTTTAAGCATTCTTAATTACTTAACTTAGGATATTATATAAATATACTTATAAACATATGTTACCCTTTGATTTGAAGCATCATGGGAGATACTTGCGTTAGCATCATAAGTAATTAAAATAGAATATTTTCAATAATTTTTTTTCACATCTTTTTTTTTACCCATATTTCATACAGCTTTAGTTACTTTACTCAAGAATGCTTTAAAATGCTACGAGATTTAAACTTTTTTATTAATTGGCATTCTTTATAGCTATGCTATCTAGAGCCATGATGCACATTCGTTGTTCAGATTACGTCATTTGTAAGGTTACGCTGAAGTCAATCTCAGCCAAGTCCTTTCATCATAGCTCTGGCTCATACTGTGGCTTCGAACCCCCAGCCATCTCAACAAGATTGGTTTTATGATTTTCTTAAGTAAAATCCACACTTTTCAGACTTACTTTTTTCAGATTCTTTGCCTGTTCATTTGAGACCGCTATGCCATTCAGCCCGCAATATTGCTTTGAATGGCTTAATGGATTTCGATGTGCGGAAGCATGTCATTAGTATAAGCCAGCTCATTTACCGTACAGTATTTAGCAATGAACAGGATCTTCGGATTCTACTTATTGGACAGATTGTTAGTTTACTCGTTTCACATTTCATTCTCCACACATCTTGTTTGTACATATATGTATGCTAATTACTCAGTTTGTTCAAGTTCGGCTTTATTTTTCATTTGCCTTGCCCTGTTTTAATCCTTTGGCTATGATGGAAATCACACC